GCAAGAAGAAATTTCATCCAAGTGTATTCTTCAATTATCATTTGTCTAAACCTTGTGTTTCTATCAATAAAATTGCTTGTGTTTTCCATATCAATGTGTAGGAACTAAGTTTTTCTCTTCCTTGAATTGATTTTGTTAAAATATTGTTTATTTCATGTGATTTTCATTAAGCATTTGAAAGATAAGTTGATGTGTTAAACTTTAGAGTTTCATTTATCTTATTACTGATCACGAGAAAATTTAAAATAACTTGTGATATAGGACTATTGATCACAGACTTGAAGAACAAGTAGGCTAACATACAATTTCACTGTGAATAGGAATATTATCATTAGAAAATTACAATCACAGAGGAATGAGAAATCCTGAGAGATTTAACAAAGTTAAGGGGATTTAACCTTAATATGAGACTCCAATGCTTCCTGTGTCTAAAAATAGAGTAAGAAGTATTTGTCCCTGATTTTCAACTACATTAGAATAGACTTTGGTGAATAAACAATGAAATTTCTCAAGATCCAATTCAAAAAATACTTTCTATGTAGAACAAAAACCCCAAAATCAATAGGTATATCTTTTCTTATTTAGAAATTTAAAAGAATCTATGAAAAAATAATAAAACACTTTGAACTAAACTTACAATTAATAAACTAGTAATTAAACTATTTGGATATTAATTCTTGATCTATCGTACGAGGTTTACCTCAAATAAGTTCTCCAGGTTCTTCAATTTGTATGCCTGGTCTCCATCTTATTTTCCTTTTTTCCAATCCGTCCTCTTCCCAGAATCATTCCGACAATTCAAATAAGAGGGTGGGTTCTTTGAAAAGGTGATCTTAACACAATGATTAGATAGACTGGCAAACCTGACTTTACAAAAAAAATTGAAACAGTAATAATAGCTACATAGAGCCGCATAATTTCTCACCTGGCCTGACGGACAAAAACAGTTCTAAGCCCTTTGAAATGGGTTTTCTCTTTCTAAAATTCCTCAATTGATCTCTCTAAAGTTCAAGGTTTTGGAAACAAAAAAGCATGGAAAATATGATCCTAAAAGTGATTTGTAATATTTATATATAAATATTAATGGAGGGCATAACTATAAATATTGGAATTGGTATATATTTAATCGTAACATTAAAAAATCTTTTATATCATCAAATATAGGATTCCAAAAATTATAGAAAAATATTCAATAAATAGAAAATCATGTCTAGAGCATATTGATAAAAAATAGCTTGCAAAACGAATGCTAGATGGACCTGAAAAGCCTACATTTATAAAGAAGTATTAAATCCTAAAGACATATAAATCCAACAAGAATACTTTTATTTTCCTCCTTATCATACACAAAAAAAAATAAGTAAACATATGCTCAAAATAGAACAATTGTGTTCTACAATTTATTAAAAACAATTTGTAAATCGAACATAAAGAAAAAACAGATAAATTATTTGAATATAAAAAGATCAACTTTCATAAGTCAAAATTATCCAAATCAAAACAAATCAAAATCGACGAATAAGTCGAGAATAAAAACAACTCTAAAAACTCTAAGAAAATCAATAAACACAAAATTAACATGAAAAATCTACCAGATCTCAAATCATCTCTCAATAGGTCACCCATCTACTATAGGGACAATCGCAACCCGAATATGTATGAAAGAAAAAAAAAAGGGGTAGGTACGTTGTAGGATGAGTAAGGAGGCGAGAGAAAGGATGTTGGCTGAAATTGGGTGTGAAAGGCGACTGAACAGTGGGCTAAAAGTAGAAAACAACAGATTTCATACTGTAAACAGCATATAACAATGAGAGGGACGGTTGTCCTAATAAAAATAGCTGCTCAAAGGTGAGACGATGATGTGTGGAAGATGATGATGGGGATCCCTCATCTATTCCTGAGCAAGATACAAATACACGACTTATAAATGAAAATGATACAACACTCTGGAGAGCATAAAACAAAAAATAAAATCTAACAATCATCAAAAGTCCTTCAAAACATAAAAAATCATATAAATAGTCTCCTCTGAAAAAATAAACCCAATTAGAAATAACAAAACAGGACAGAGCTAAAAAAGAAAAAGATTATGGTTAAAATTGGGAATCGTAAAAAGTTAGTAGCGGGATATTCCATGATCGTACAGAACTGTGCGGAGTTTGCAGATTGCAAAAATTCTGTGAAAAAGGGATAGTGGGATCCCAACGCTCGTGTGTTACCAAGTGTTAGTGAAATTGAGATTTGGACTATATAAATTATTATCTAGAATTCAAGTATAATAAATAAAAAGCTTATTGTTTTAAGCCAAATTTCTCTAAAAAGTTTCTGAGATATGTCATTTGTTGGTCAAAAATAAGGTCTTAAGGCATATAAAAATTAGTGAACATTGAGAATTGCAATACATTTTCAATTTTATATATGTGTGTTGGTTAGACGTGTACTCCTCAAGCACTTCACAAGTGTTGACGAGAATATTCAAAGATTTGTCTGCTCATGTTAATATAAATGTTAGTTCTTCGCTTAGGTGATTTTTACATGTATTCATACTTTAATTTTGTGTATGATTTACATGTATTTGTCTAAAAATTTTCGTTTGAGTAGAACTAAAACTGAATGCATAGAATGTAATTTTAGTAGTAGCAGCTCTAGTGACAGAAATGTAACTTTGGGTGATCAAATTATTAAAAGGTGTGAACGCTTCATATATCTCGAGTCTATTGTTCAAAGTGATGGTGATATTGATGGAGATGTTATTAGTAGAATTCAAGTTGGTTGGTTGAAGTGGAGGAAGACTTCAAGCCTATTGTGTGATAGAAAAGTAACGCTTAGACTAAAACGAAAATTTTATAAGATGGTGATGAGACCTGCAATGTTATATGGCGTTGAATGTTAGACTTTAAAAGAAAAGCATAAAACTAAATTAAGTGTTGTCGAGATGGGAATGATTAGGTGGATGAATGGCTTTACACTTAGAGACAAAATGTGAAATGAATATATTCGTGATAGGGTTGTTGTAGCTCCAAAGACAGACAAAATTAGAGAGTCGTCTTAGATGGTTTGGTCACATTAAATGTCGACCATCTAATGTTCTGATTAGAAGAGTAGATGTTTTAGATTCGACTTATATTAAGAAAGGCAGGCGTAGACCTAGGATGACTTGGGCATATTGTATAAAATATGTCTTAATTTATTAGAAGGAAATGAAAATATGGCACTAAATAGGACGCAATGGAGAAAAACGATTCATGTAGCCGACCCCACTTAGTGGGATAAAGGTTTTGTTATTGTTGTAAGATTTAAATATTGTCAAGACTGATAAATGTAAAGTTTCCTACTCATAGTGTATATTAATTTTTTTGCTAGAAGTTTATGTTGTTTGGATGTTTTATCTTGTGAAATTTCAGAAATTTGTGACTTCAATTCCCCTTGAAATGGTCAATTATTAAGTACCTGATTTTATAAGCCGGAAGATAACTACACGTAAGATATGGTAGAGGAAACTTATTTCCTTCGCAAAAACAAATACTATTAAAAGTCAAACCTATTAATATTGATGTTGGAATTTTGTTGCCTTAAACAAATATCAGCAAAAAGTCACAAACCTAACCCTAGTAATCTCTACTTGTCCAAATCTTATTTCAGGGTTATTAAAAAGTTAATTGAAATTTAACTTGCTTAAAACCAACTTAAATTTTGACACAAACAATATTTTGAGCACCATTCAAGAGTAAAAATCAATTTCTAGTTTGAACTGATTATCAAATTTGAATAGCATCGACTCAAAATGAGATGAAATGCATGTATGTAAAACATCATGAATACAAATTATTGTATAGTAATAATATAATGTGTATATATCACAAACTTCTATAAAATTCAACATTAAGTTGAATCAACGCCGGGTAATTTCAGGTTAAGTTGGCTCGACTAAAATTAATTTTTATTTCAAGTCAAGCTCAGCTTAAGCATAAATATTTTTTTTTTTATTTTGAATCAGGCTAATCTCGTTAGAACTTGACTCAATATCATCCTTTGTGAGTCAACTCAACAGGTTTATGCTGAGCAAGGGACTAGCTTAAGAACCTTCTTGACATGAAAGGAACTTTACCAGCAAGGGTTAATATAATCTAAGTGGACTATTAATCACCTAAAGTCAAGATGAGTAAACTTTATCAATAGCTAGTTGATTTAGAAATTAATATCACTAAATGATGATTAAAGCAAACTTTCCCTTAATAGCAATTACGGAGTTTAAAGCTTGTTCTGGAATGCTATCAACCATTTTCAGATGAATCTAAATTGCAATGATATTTTAGGCTCATACAGGTTACCTAATATTTTAGGCTTTCTGTTATAGGACTGACCTCAATAATCGTATGTACAAAAAAATATAAAATTTTCAACCAAGGCATCAAGGACTATAGGATATTGAAAATATAAAGCCATTAACTCCAGCGAAGATGCGAGATTCAACTCCCCATTCCTTCTAACAGCTGGCACTAATTTCCATCCCCTCCTTGACCAAGTAATTTGACTTTAACCTCTGATCTAGCCTATGGAGATCAAAGGCAATATATGGCAACCAAAAGCCTGTTTGTATTTATGGTGTGTATTAAAAAGGCCTGCTAATTTTTTAGGACCATAAGATAGGGATGGAGCATGGGATTATCCTAGAACCAACAAGTATGCAATAGTACCAACTAATGATCAACCTTGTTGGTTCATCAAAGAATAAGCTCAAACAGTGCAAGGGGATAGAAGTTGTCAAGCAATACAGTCAATCTGCATATGCAGCTTTCAAATACCAATCAAGGTTTCTTTTTGTAACATTTTTGTTGCTAGGAATCGTAGATACATGTGAGGTATTTCTTATTTTGATAAAGATAAATAAAAAGCTTCGTGCTAATTCAATATGCCCAACTGAATGGGTAGGATAAACAAAAACCACAAGCATAAAAGAAGAGTAGTAGAACTAAACCAAAAGAAAAGAAGAAGATTACCTGAAATCAGGTCCTTGATAGGCAAGCATTTCCTCGTCAGAATCTTTGGTCTCTTTAAAAGACATGCTGTCGATTACAAGCTCATCCGGATAAGCAGTGCAGCAGAACTCCAAACCTTGCCCTCCATTCTTCCTTGCATTTATGATCAATGGAATGCTAGATTGGTTTGGCCTTTCCCTATTTCCATCCTCATCATTATGACCAGCCCTCCTATCGTGTTCAGGCTCCTCTCCAGTCACAAGGCTCGGCATAGAAACCAGAACTTCAATTTTCTCCCCATTGTAGCTTCTTTCGAGGGTGACGGTACTCTTACCTTTTTCGTTTTGAATTTCGAATGGGAAGTCTTCAGGTATTTCTTCCACCTGCAATATTTTAACAACCTAGAATCATCGTTTGGAAGAGCTCCAATCATTACTAGTCCTACAACAATTTTTACTTGTCCCATCTCTAAATAAGGTGGTTCTCTTTCTTGTTGCAAATGTTATCATCCATGGATTACGGCAAAGCTAACAAAGAGAAACCCTTTCAACGCACCTCATACGAAATGGTTAATAACTGGGGAAAGTAAGATGAGGAATTTAAGAATCGACGAAAGAGAGAGCGATCAAGAGCTTACCCTATCGTGGTCATCGCAGTCATCGGCACACTTAATCTCCGCGTCAATGACACGAAGGAGATCAAAATCGGAAGTCGGCTTATTTGCAGTAGAACAGAAAGAAGAGACGAAGAAGGGAAGTAAGGAGCTATGTTCTCGAGACAAGCGGCTATTAGGAGCTTGGGGCTGGAGGAAGGCGAAGAGCGGAATTTGGAATCGTCTGGCAGCAGCAGCGCCGGCATGAAGGGATCCCGACAAGCGGACGCGTCGGAGAACGGCAGACGCCATTGCCTCTGGCCAATCGGTAAGAAGAGATCGGACTAAACTTCATTAGCAATAAATATTTACATGCATACAACACAATTCTTATGTATTTAGATATCTAACCCCTAAAATTTGATATTTACATTTATAATATTTTAGTGTCTTAAATTTATGCTTAAAGATTGTATTTCATCTTAAAGATATAGTAATAGTGATGCATGCTAGAAAATTCTCAGCTGTAGAGTAAAAGATTATCGTCTTAAGATTTATACAAGGATTCAGCACACTCTCAAATTAAAAAGAAAAACAACTAGTAAAGACACTAGAAGTTTTTATTTCCTTCTTTGCATGTGGGGAACACGATGGGATTTGAATCCCCTCCTCTAGTGAGAAGTACAATTTTTAATGGATGGAACTTTTTTTTATGGCTGAAATTTGTTTTTTTTGTCTTTAATGTTTGAAACTAATTTTTTTAAAAAATTCAGCAAGATTTTTGAGCCTATGAATAGGGAGGAAGAAGAGGGTGGATATAGAGTTCATTTGGCCTACCTGCTTGCGAGTGATCGACGAGATTTTCCAGAAAAGAAAATCGTCCTCAATCTGCATAACAGACGACCAACAAGATATTCTTTCGTGTTACAATGTAGAAGAAATTCGTCTCCATTCTGTGTAGCAAACAATCAACGAAATTTTCTTTCATGTTGTGATGAAGAGAAAAGTCTTCCCCGTTCTACGTATCAAGCGATCCACGAGATCTTCTTTCATATCGTCGAGATGCTAACATCCACAGAATCTCGCACTGCCAAAAACCAGAGGAAATACCAAAATTCAGAAGATATGGTGTCGAACCTAACAGAGAGTGATCTGATCATTTTCCAGAATAAGTATCATTTCCTAAGACAATATGATTGTGAAATTGTCTACTCTCACTGATGGAGTGTATTCTCCTCATTTCGGGTACATTATTGTTCACGATGCGGAACTGCGAGCCGTCCTACGATTGTCATCAGCGCTTGAGCTTATAAAAATCATGAAGGTGTTTGTAGTTTGTGTTGCCCAAGTGTCTTGTCGAGCAGTGACAGTCATCATCAGCCTGGCTGTCCTTTTCAGGAAGCGTGAGTTAACATTGGTGTATGAACTTTTACATGGTTGTGTGAGTTCATTAGCAACACATATGATCATGTGTTGTTTAAGAACAATGCATAGGATTTTCGGCTGAATGATTCCATAACTAGGCTTGTGAATGAGTCGATTTCGAGTCAATCCAGGGGTGGCTCGAAATCGGATCAAAATTTTTTTAAATGGATCGAAATTGGCTCGTGGCTCAATTCAATTTGGTTTTGATCTGATTCAGATCGAAGTGGAACGATTTAAGAGTCAGCTCGAATTGCTTTCGAGCCAACTCAAATTTTATTGTGTCGGCTCAAATTTTAATCGAGTCAACCCGAATGTCATTTTTTGCTCGTGAGCTAGATCTATCAAGCTCGAAAACCTGATTAAGCCGGCTCGAAAACTATTTTGTGTCTACTCTAAAACTTCATTTGAACAAAATATTAATTAATTTTAAAACAAATTAAAATTTGGAAAGTCATAAAATTACAAATATGAAATAATGCGAATTTGCAAAACAAATATTATTTGGGCACTTGTATTCATAACTCATAAATTTGAAATTACATATTACAAATTTATAATCTACAATAAAAAATATCAACTATGATAATTACAAATATTTTTTATATGGATATTAACATGCATCAATTTTACATGATTTTACCAAACTAGTTTCCTATATTTTATATGTTATTTCTATTTATTTTTCACAAACTTATGCTTAAAAATGTTTTTTCTTCATGTAATGCAGGTTGTAGGCGTTGAATACGAATAAGTTGAAACACGAAAATTAAGCAAAAAAGTGCCCCAAAACGACATGACCACTCCTAAAGGCACTGTGACACGCCTCTGTCAAACACAACTAACATGACCACACCAGAATTGGTGTAACCACTATATCTGGAATAGTAGGGTGGCATGACTATGCTACAATCAGGCATGACCATGTCTGCCCATGTGATGTGCCTAAAAATGTATTATTTTTCATGCTAAATTTTATGATGATATTGCACTTTAAAGGTATGTTTTTTTGTGTTTTTGGTTGTAGATACATCAAATTTAAAAAATTTAGAGTAATTGGAGCAAAAGGAACAAAAATGGACCAAACCGGAGCAAATCGGGACGAACCGGGGCACGCAAGAGCCATGGGGGACGAAACCAGGGACTTAAGTGCATGTGCCCGACACGTAAGTGCCCAAAATGGTGCTTAGGTTCCACCCAGATAGAGAGGAGGGCGCTTAAGCGCCCAAAATCAGAGTTTAAGCGCCAAAAACGGTTTTCAACATATCTTCTAGAATATACATCTGATTTGGACGATTTTTGAAGCGTTTCTTTATGTGTCTCTTGGGGAATTCATTGGAAATGATAAAAGGGACTTTATAGAAGAATTTGGGGCAGTTATAAGGAGTTATGAAGATGCACTTGGGGCACCTTTCGGAAGATTCATTGAATCTGGACATTTTTTAAGAGACACTTAAGAATCTCGTGGAAAATTATAAATAAGGCTTGGAAATGCTTTTAAAAGGACTCTCTTGAACTCATGAAGTAATTGGAAGAGTAGAAGAAGGCTTGGGTGTGAGCCCCAAGTGGGGCGACAAGGTGAGAGAAAGAGAGAGTGTGAGACATTTCTTCTTTTCTTTTCACTTTATTCTTAAAGAGGATTGTAAGGAGATTGCTTTTGATATACAAGGAGAGTTTGATTTCCATCAAAGATAAGTATTTTTTATTTTATTTTGATTTGAATCTAGTGCTTTGTTTGTATGGTTTCAAAGACCTATTTAATGAGAAGTTCTTGTTGTTTCTCCATGTCTAGTGAATAGTTTTCTTTACTCTTCCCTCTTATAATGAATTAGTATGCATGTGTAGGATATAGATATGAGTAGAGTGAGAATATCTTGTGATGATTTTACTTTGTTCTTCATTTACATGTAAATTTAATCAACTTGCATGTTAAAAAATGTTGTGAGAACATGTAAGATCTGTGATGGTGTTGTCTCAATCAACTATGGTAGAATCACATGAAATTGTATGAATGAGAATGTAGTCCATATGTTGGAGTACAAATAAATATGAAAATAATCTTTAATGGGTGTAGAATTAGAGGAATTTAGATTGATAGGCTAAAGCCCCCTAATTTGGTATATTGTTTTAGGTTTTAATGCGAGATGTTAGCCTCCGGGTGGAGGGATAAGAGGGAACACTAGAGTGACAACTAGTATCTTCCATGCCTAGCCCGTCATCAGAACTATTCAAGCTTTAGATTAACCAGTGTTCTTTATAGCATCTCTAGTAAGGGTAAAGAATACAATTGCTCCTATTTGTCACAATCCCTCTCACTACTTGTTTTACTTTTACACATGTCACTAATTTCATTGCATGAGGAATAGTACTTTTATTATATTAAACCTCACTTTCTGATTTTCCCTAAGTATTTTAATTTAAGAGTAGAAGTTGTATTGTAGTGATAATTGCAGGATATAAACAAAACCAAACCTTTATCAACCTTCCAAGCTAGGGCGTGTTATTCTAGACTAAAACTTCTTTTGAAAGCCACCGTGATTAACCTCGATCTCCGCGGGATCGATATTCAGGGCTTAATAAAAAAGCCCTATATTACTTGAAAACGATACATATACTTGAGTAAAATCCCTTTTATTTTAAAATATAATTGAAATCTTACTTTGCTTGGGATCAAGTTTCTGGTGTCATTACAGGGGATTGAAATCTTCAAGTAGTGGTGTTAACTTCATAAATCCTTACATATAAAAAATATCGAGATCAAGTTTTTAGTGTCATTGTCGAGGATCGCAACGGTTGATTTTAACTTTTAGGAGAATTTTAGTTGAAGTAATTAAGCTTAGACTTAGAAAATTGTAGTGTCGTAAAAAATTGTTTGTGTGAAAAATAAGATGTTTGTGAAAATATTTTGTTGTGTTGAATATATTTTTTGTTTTATTTGTTTAATT